AGGAAGATTCCTGAGGAAAAAATCGTGTGAAGCATTCCTGGCATTTTTTTTAAGGAGCAGTTGAGGTCACCAATGGCGGTGATGGTGAGAGGACCAGTGTGGCCTTCCTTCCTCAAGGCCAATTCTATCGATTTCGCGACCATAGAAGCATCATACCCATCGGGAACCGAACAAGTGTTGATGTCCCACCACACCATCGATTTTGGCTCCTGCTTCGCCTGATCGACCATCATCAGGTCTGACTTTGTTGAATCCATTGCTACATAAACAAAATCAAATCATACCCAAAAATGGAATTAACAAATCGCATCTTTATTTTTATAAACTGAACCTTTCTCAGAAGAATCACTGACCTCGTTTACTATCGAATCTGAAACGATCAAATTCTCGAGAGCTTTCCAATCTATACAAAAAAATCTCAAATGCTCCTCTTACAAAAAAATAATGTATTATCGAATTTGAAACTCCAAAGAGAACAAAGGGGAGAAAATGGATGGAGCAAAGGAAAACAGAAACCTGACCTAATTGTCTAAGACATGCAAATTAGATCAGTTTGAGAAAATCAAAGTATACAAAAGACATGCAAATTCTTGAAAAAGATAGATGGTATGATAAACGGTAATGAATTCTTACGAGAAGACATCCTTGATCACAACTAAATATGAAACAAAAACTGGGTGGTGTAGTTTGAAAACAACAAATTAAAAAACTACTAAAGGCATGAGACAATGAAGGAAGGACTGATTTACTCTTCATCGTTTTTCTCATCACTTGCTCTGTTCAATGCCTTAACTCTCTCGATCAACTTGTTCTTCCTCTCTTCGTAAGTCAATTTCTTCAAGTTGTGCCTGAGTTTATATCACAATAAATCAAGATGCCAGTGAGAAACTACGCCAAGACAACAAGCACATAATATTGAAAGCATGTAAGAAAATTGCTAATTTGGATCTACCTCTTGTGTTCCTTGGGAGCAGGTTTCTCACATTTCTTAGGGTTCGGGTCTGCTCGAATAGCTAAGTGAACCTTCTTGTACATCTCCTCAATGCTCTCAGGTTCAACTCCTTTCTTAATGTAAGCACTGAAGTGAGTTTGTAACTTCTCTGGCTCATCTTCCGCCAACATCTTCATGTAGTTTGAGACATGGCCACCAAAGATGTAGTTCCTGTGGATTTCGGCATTGAGTTGCTTGTTCTCTTTGTTGAAACCAGCAAATCTCTTGTCACTGTGAGGGATATCAAGACCTCCATCTAAAGCACCCTGTCGTTTCATGAAGCAAACCAAAAGAATTAACACAGAGTCATCATTTGCTAATGCAGCACAACAGATAAGAACACAGATAACCACATTAAAACAGATAACCATTTTAATACCTTGAGTGCACCAAACACACGGTTTCCGGTTGTGGTCCTGATAAGTCCAACATCAAGAAGAGCACGGAAAGGTCTTCTGGAATCAGTTGGTTCCACAGAAAAGTCCTCTCCAGTAGCCTGATTCATTAAATTGTGAAACAGTTAATAATCAAAAGATGAAAACTCTAAATGTTTCTCTAATTTCAAGATGAAATTAAAAGCGCAACATACCTCAAGGTTGCCCTCATACTCGTCATCCATTTCCAACATTTTCAGAACACGACGAGCCAAAAGAAGGCCAGTACAGTAGGCTAGCAACACAAAAACACCAAAGTGTTTAGAAAACCATACACAGAATCAAACATAGAATGATAACCGAAAGCATAAAACTAATTCATACCTGCAGCATAGTTGGTAAGACCAACAGTGAGTCCATACTGAGGCAGCTCATGTGCATAAGCAGAAGCTTTAACAATGTCACCAACTATGCTTGCAGACACAATTTGTGCCACAATGTCTTTGTTGGTAAACCGGACAACAAAACGGTACTTGGGAGTATTGTACTTGTTCTTGTCTTGGTTGATAAGACGGATCCTTGCCCTGTAATCAGTCTTGCCAGCTACAAAATCATGAAAACACAGCTTTCAGAACATGTTCAACAAAGACAAGCACTCAATATAACCATCGAAAACGAAAGTAAGATATCAATCAATACCTCTCCTTCTCCTGAACTTCACTTGATACCTCTTGAAGTAAGCATTCGACTTGTCAGACTTCACGAACACCTAACAACAGAAAAGGAACCCTAATTTATTAGACTACATCAAATAGAAATCTAAGTCTTAAAGATCCAACAATATGCTAACCAAAGGGTACGAAAGATCATTCATTTAAAACGCATCAGTGACCTCTATAACAGAGAGCAAAAAGCTAAAGTCTCAAACTTTAATACTTAACACAAGACGAAAACACAAAATTTGACTATTTCAATTCTCAAAACCAAAAACCCATGAAGAATATACATGAATACAACAACCACAGGCTCATGAATTCTTGTTTACCATAACTATCAAAAGAAATGTAGGAGATTTCTATACGAAATGAACCCAAAATCTGATCTTTTGAGGAGAAATCAAGAAGAAAACATGGCGGAGAGAGAGATCTTAGCTAAAGGCTTACCATTGTTTGCTGTGGAGATGAGTGACGAGAAGGGAAGAGGCGGAAGCGAGATCAAAACCCTAGACTCCTCTTTGGGCTCTTCCAATCAACGGCCAAGATTTAGTTGGGGTGAAAAAATATTTAACGGCCTCGATTGGTTATATTAAAAAGAACAGCCCAATGGGCTTTATATTTGGACTTTTTCTAATTCTTTCTCACCTAACACCTACTATATATACTTTTTAATTCTTTCGAGCGATGTAATGAGGTAAAAAGTAAAAAAACAGTTTTACACTTTCCAACTTCTGTTTCATTTCTAATGAATAAACCAAATACATGATCTCCAAATTATATAATTCTCAAAAATTAATTATATACTAGAGGATATCCCGTGCTATTGCACGGATGACATTTGTTCGAAAAGTTAATATATAAATTATAATTATATTTATTTTAAAAATATATATTTATTTTAGATTGTGTTTATTTTTTATATTGTAAGTGTTTGATAAATCAGATGTTTTCACTTTAGAACTGTACTGGCCGGTTTGACTGGTTAATCTGCGAAGCCGGAAACTGGATATTTTTCCGTTTTCAGTTAGTGCAAATAACCGGTAATCTTATGACTGAAAAAACCATAAACATTGTCGTTAACCCACGACCATATTAACCAATTAGACCGGCAAGATTTTAGAAGTCATAATATTTTTATTCTTTCTCAAACGATAATACATACGATTAAAATTGGTTAGCGTAAACTCTTGATGTATTATTCGTGTTCTTTTGGTTTTATTTTAATTTTAAAAATTTAAGCAATTTATTATATTGTTAGACTACATATTTTGTTTAACATGATATAGTTATTTTTTATTTTTCTATTTATAAAACTGCATAATCTATATAAAAATAAATAAAACTTTTAATCAATTGATTTTGGTTGAACCCGGTTAGCCTAGTGACCCGATGACCCGGTAGGTAATCCAGTTTAAAATCCTATTTGAGTTCGAAATATTACATATATGTTTCTGAATTTGACATGTATAATTTGTGTGTATGTTATTGTGTAACTGAATAAACCTTTTTTAAAAAACAAATATCTTTTAAAAAAATTAGTAGAGTATTATTTGATATTTCACCGAAAATATTTAAAACTAAATACTCTAAAGTTTTAATATTTATAATACTTTGAAATTTTAAAAAAAAAATAATATTATAATATTTTGAAACTTTTGAAAGTTTTAGTTTGCTCAAAATAAAGAACCGAATTAAACCAAATAAAATTTTTAAATTTTGGACAGTTGAGAAATCAAACTTCCGGTTTATTTGTAGGTTGAATATAACAGTCCTATTTATAATGAATATGAACCATTTTCTAAAATTTTCTAGCCGATGTGGGACGTTTTACATACCTCTTTTGTTTTATCTATTGAGATTTATATGTCCGTTTTAAATAATTCAAATTACAACATATGCGTAAAAAAATTTCTATTTTTATTTATTTATATTTTTAATGTAATAAAATAAATAAAATATAAACATGATCATAAAAATGTGAAAGGAAAATAATTATTATTTTTAATATATTATATTAAATTAGGTAGAAATATTTTAGGAAAATCCAAACAAAATATGGAAATGATATAATCTGAGAAATATCTGAATCATTATCGATACGCAAAAATCCAAAAATGATATATTCGATTAAGTGTATTTTATTTCAATTGAAAACTTTAGTGTAAATCTGATGGGTACTTCAGCTTTAATAGTATAGATTTAGAAGATAAAAATTTAATAATTAAGAATCATTAATTTTTGTAAAATATCATCAAAAAATATCAATATAGTAAAAACTTTATACATGTATGATGTATACATTGGTGTTGAGAACTTTAGAATGACAACATTTATCGTTCTGAAATTACACCAGAAGCTATCAGACGTGTCCCTGGTAATTTAGACGAATTCGTCAAGACATTTAGGAGTATTAGCAGTTGATGTTCATTTAATATATATATATATCTATACTATTAATTCGGAAGGACAACTTGAAGCCAAACACCCTCCAATTTTAAAAAAAAAACATTTCATGAAAATAAAACCAGTTGCCAAACAGAATTAATGACAGCAAAAAAAAAACAATAACAAAAACAATCTATATTTGTGTAAATCATAATAATCTTTTAGCATAAAAAGTGGACAACTAAATTCAAAACTAAATATATGTAAACAAATATATTTTGAATATACATAAACATATTTATTATTAATTTAATATGTTAATATAATTTCGAAATTAATAAATTATATAGAATGAAATCTAATAATAAAAAATCATCATATATCTAAAATAACAAAGATAACATTTTTTAGAAAAATAAAAAAGATAAAAAAATATGTTAGCATATGAAATAATCAACTAATCAAATTCTACATAGTATATATACATAACTGATCATATCATAAAATTTTTAAAAATTATATAATTTTTAAATATAAATAAAGTTTAACTAAATCAATAATTAAATATTTGTTTGCTAAAATCATGCGAATAAACATTCTAGATCACATAAATTTCTTATTTTCACATAAAAAATATTCATATTCAAAAATCAATCTAGCAATTATAACACAAATGATATCTACAAAATTTATCATTAATTCAATTAGTTAATGATTTTTATTTGGTCAAACCGTTAGTTAATGATTATTCTAAACTTCTTTTTTCTTATTAATTTCACACAATCTTAACAAAATAAATCTTCATCCATTGGCAATTTGCATATCAT